AGTGGGATAGTAATTTTTTTCAAACCTCTGAGCAAAGAGACCTGGCTGTTCTTTGCCACCAGCTCCCCATACCTGTGACAGCACATTTATATTACATGGAATTTCAGGAACATTGACTCTCACCTGGCACAAGTTCTCCCTGAAGCAGGAAACAGTGCAGTGAGGGAAAGGGCAATGAATGAATAGCCAGAGTTTCACCAGTTTTTACTTCCTTGCAATTTTACATCTTAAGGACATAATCATTTCCACGGTATTACCTGTGGGAAATGTAGCTTCCTCATCCCTCTGTGAACTTTTCCTCTGAGCTACAGTCCAGCTGTATAAAACCCTTAGCAGCCCATTCAGCTCCAGTAGAGAGTTCAGTTCTGCTCCTATATCCTATTAATCTTTAGTGCCCCAGAATTTTAAAGTGTTCCCCTTCATTCACCACAGTATCACCTATCCCTTTGGGATTTTTCCTCATCCATTGCAAGATGTTTTCTCCAGGAAAAGACCACAGATATTCCTGGGATTTTGTGTCCTATTTCACCACTGATTGGTTGGAATAAGGCACTTTGCTGTGCCTCAATATCTTTAAGCACCCTTTAACCACAAGAGTTAATTTGACAGCCCTGTTTATTAATGTGTTGAAATTCCTATAAAAGAAAAAACAAATAAGGTTGTGTACCCAGCAGAAAGAAACTATAAAACAGCAATAACCAAGAAAAGCCTTCTCTGAATGAAATGAAAACTCTGCAGAGGTTGCCTTGCTTGCTAGACCAAGCTTTTCTGTCATCCCACTTTATCTCAGCACAGATCTAAAAGAGCTGACAGATGATCAGAGCCCCAAGGAACAGCTCAGCTGAACTGATTTTGGGGTAATTCACCCAAACTCAGCTTTGGCTGTGGCTGTCTCATCTGTGAATCAGTGGAGACAATTTCAATATTGGAGGTTTTATGTCTAGAAAAGGCTTAGAAAACACAGAAAGAGCCACCGAGGAAAGCAGCAGGGGCTGAGGTGACACCAATTTCTCTCTCCACCCTTTGCCGAGCTCTCCTGGCACGAACACAGCGTGGAGGATTCGGCCGCGTGCTCACTCCACTCACCCACCCGTCTGTGCGAACAGCACTGACACAACCTCCCAGAGCAAACCCAAAAATAAAAAAAAAAGAGGGCAAACTTGCTTTTTGAGGGCCTCCTGGGCGCCGGGCACGGCCGAGTCCTCGACGTGGAGGGTGCCATTGAGATCCACCAGCACGGCCTTCAGCGCGCGCCGCGCCGCCATCGCCCCACCGAGGCACCCTGTGGGGGATTTTTAAAAAAAAAAACCACATTAACTGATTGCAAAGACTCTGCTCGTTCTTTAAGTGCATCCAAACAAAATAAAGCTCTCTGAACGACTCAAGGGCGCTGGGGAGAGAGAGGGACATTTGGGATTGCTGTCTCGACACCTCAGTGAGAATATTTCAGCAAGTCCCACCAACAGCAACAATGAAAATGAAGACACAGTGCTCTAAAGCTGTGTCTCTAAAGGTCTAAAGCTGCATTTAGGCTCAAAATGCTCTGCCAAAGTGGATGTTGTTATTTTATTTTTGTAAGAGAGACCCAGGGTGATGCAGCCCACCCCCTAGCCATTCCGAGAGTGCTCAGTGACAGTCAGGATTTTTGCAGATTTTTAGCCTGGAAGCTCTCAGGCATATCCAGTACCTCGAAGGTTCACTGCACACTCGTGCAAAAGGGGCTTTTTTTTCTGGTTCCATGTACTTAGCCCAAAATAAAAGCCAGGATTTGAAGCATAAAGGCACCAGGGAAGGAACAGAGAGGTGATGTTTGAGTCCCCAGGATAAAGATCTGTCTTCAGAAACACTTCCCCTCATGTGGGCTGCAAGCGCTGCATTTTGCTCCATGAAAAGTCTGAGGAGCTGTTTCTCAGAAAATGTCCAATACGGCAAGGTTTTCTCCTGTTCATTAGACAAGAGCCATCTGAAAGAGCTGAGTGAGTTGGGATTATAGAAGAGAAGCTTTGAGGTGATCTGATTTTAGCTTTTCAGTGCCTGAGGGACAATTGCCAAGTGATGGAGGGACAGCACACAGGGAATGGCTTCCCAGGGCCAGAGGACAGGGACAGATGGGAGATTGGGAATTAGGAATTGCTGGCTGGGAGGGTGGGCAGGCCCTGGCACAGGGTGCCCAGAGCAGCTGTGGCTGCCCCTGGATCCCTGGAAGTGCCCAAGGCCACAATGGATGGGACTTGGAACAACCTGGGATGGTGAAAGGTGTCCCTGCCCATGGCAAGGGGTGGGATGAGCTTTAAAGTCCCTTCTACCCAAACCACTCTGGGATCTGCCAATTTTGTGACTAAAATTTTGTGTTCAGCTGGTTTGGTTACAGACCGCATGCAGCACGTCTGTAATTCTAAAAAATCACACAGAGCAGTCAGCACCATGACTGGAACCTGCCCTAATAAATTTCTGTCAGCTTTATCTTTGCAGACGGTTTTATAAATGGTCATGTGAGCCTGGGGTCTCAGGTACATCACACACACAACAGAAAACTTTGATATTCCACATTGTTATTCCTGCGGTAAGAAAATAAATAAAAATGCTTCTTTTACTGTATGGCTGTTGATACAAAAGCCAAAGTTAAATATTAATGACACACAGCTGAAAATAGAAGTCTTAAAGAAGCTTCATCAATTTCAATGGAAATTGCTACTACTATTACTGTTATTACTACTACTATTACTGTTTTTATTTTACTGTTACTGTTTATTTTTACCCTACATTTCCATCGGCTCTGCTGTTCACGGTCCATTTATTTGGGAAATATGGCAGTTATGTACAGAGCCAGTTTCCAGCACAGCCTAATTTCAAAGGAAAAGCTCATAGATTGACAACAAGTCCTAAAAGACCTCCAGAACCTCAGTTTCCCTAATCACATCCCAACGAAAACTCACCTTGTCAGGACAAAGGGACACCCCAGCCACGGTCTCTGGTAAAAGGACACAAGGAACACAAGACACAACCTAAGGGAAAGAGGGATATATTCTATAAAAATATATAGAGTTATATACGTCTCTCGGTGGTAGGATACTGATGGTACAGGCGCCTCCCCCGTCTCGCGGGGATGGTACCGCCCCTTCCCGCCAGCTCACAACGGGCACACGGGCTGGCCCATTCCCTACCGGGGGAGTTCCGACAGCGGCGACCTCCCCTTTTGCTGGCACGGATGGTTTCGCCCGCCCGTTCGCGGCCGAAGGCGGCGGACGCGCCCACGCGGAGGAGAGGGGGGAACAGCCAGCGCGGCTCCCCCGGCACTGACGCGGCTCTGCCCGCCCAGCCCCGCGGGGTCCTGGCAGAGGCGCGCCCGCCCTGCTCCGCGCCGGGCGCGCCCGCCGCCAGCACGGCAAATAACAAACAATTATTATTATTGGTGTAACGATTACTGCCATAAATAAACACCGAGCTCGGCCCGCAGCCGGCCTGCCGCCGGCCGGCGCCCGCCCGTCGCGACAGGCAGCGCGGCAGGCAGCCCGCGGGGCCCTGAGGGCACGGGCGCACCGTGACGTAGCCTGGTTATAAATTAAACAAATACAAATTACACCCGTTCTAGCCATTGTATCCTTTCTGTTATACCTGTTACAGCTCCTTTATCCTACATATACACTATGTAGTCATACCTTCGGTGGGTATGATCATAAATCATGCAAGTTATGTCCCTTATATCCTCTATGGACGTGTTTATATCCGTAGCCATACACTATGGATTTCCGTAAACTATTTATCAATAATATATCCATAATCTGTATATTATGGATATATTATGCCCTGTATGGATATTACACATAATAATGTATTTATAACTCGATATTATTATTATATATTTATACATCTATATAAACATTATATACAAAATGTTATCATATCCTGATATGGATATATTATACCCATAATATATCCATGGCAACTATCATATATTTATATATAAATACATATGTATATCTCTTGGATATTGGGTAGAAATTATCCCTGTTATATATCTACATTTTCAGTTACATCAATAATATGACCATAGTGATAATATATATTATTATATTATAACCCACTGACTATATCCATATATGAATATATTTTACACCTATATTTATAATTCCACAATTATATCATTCATATATTTTTGTAACATGTATTTTAAGCTATAAACATATGAATTTTTTATACAGCTTCACAAACTATTACTAAGGTGTATAACTTTATTTTTCATAATCCTTTTTTTTTGCATAAAAACGCCAATCACTTGTTCTAAAATTTTAAAAGTTTAGCAGTAATAAAATTGCTATAAAAACAGTAATAAAAATTAAAGCAATGAGAATTTGGACAATCAGGATAATAAAAACAAAGAGGATGCTCTTGGGCACTAGGCCACATGCCTTGTGACCAAAGGATTAACTCCTAAAAGCAAAAGCCTGTTGCATATTCATATATTCATACATGATGCATACATTCCTTTTAAACTGGGGATATCTCTGGTTATTGCCAACTTTCCTCCTTAATCCTGTTGGTGCCTCAAAGACGAGAAGGAGGTAGAATAAAGTTTGTCTTTTTTGATAAGGAGGCCTCCTGGGAATTTTGGTGTCTTGTTGCTGTTACCTCTGTGCAAAGAATTTCATTATTATCTCATCTCTTTCTTGAGCTAGTTAAAAAGTACCTTACATAGCATAGTTTCTCATTATGTTATAACCTAAAACTATATTTAACACACTACTTGAGAGAAGAATTAACACAGCATAACTTTCTAACATAACACATATATTAATTTGAATATTTGCAAAAAGCCAATCATAAAATGGGCATTTTTCACACTGTCCCACTTGTAATCCCTTTTTTTCACCTGTCAGGTGAAGCTCATCCCAGTTCTGTCTCCAGCACAGGATTCCCACTGCTCCTTCTCCCTGCGTGTGCCCAGCCAGCTCCACCCGTGCGCCTGCAGCCCCTCTGGAAGCACACCAAGAAGGAAAAAATTGCTTTTCACCCGTTTTATTTTAAAGCTGCTGCTTGCAATCTTTTTGCTGGCCTTTATTTCAGTACAAACAAATTAAGTTTTGATGCAGAAATGGAGTTACAGACTCGCTGTGCCTCAAATTGTTCGGTGCCACAGCCACAGAAACATAGACCGCCGCTTTTCTTTCCAGAACTATTTCATAGGAATACAAAATATTCCACACACCCATATCCCCATTTCCACCAAAGACACATCTGGGACAACAGAGCCAGGCTGTACCCTTGCCTATGACTGACACAAGGATCATCACGTAGAAATTACTTCTAACAGATCCACAGGTTTTAAAATTTAAAGATCCTGAAGGTCCCATTCTGCCTCAGGGCAGCGTTACTATGTCTCATTGGGTTTGCTACAGAAACCAAAATACAGCAGAGATAATATTACCATGTGCCACGGGGATGAGGAAAAAGTTACACATTTCATATGAGAGCAGTAACTCTGGTATCCCTAACAGGATGGAGCAGAGTTCTGAGATATCCCCACTCTACACAGACAGAGTTAGGAAAGAGAGTGCTTAACTTGGAAATTCACAGGATTTATTTACAAAAGTCACGAGAAAAAAGAAAACAACATAAACCTCTCCTCCTGGATGTATTTTACTCTGCAAAAAAACTGTGATTGAAGATCATTAAATGCATTTACATGTTTTACAGATTCTTCTTCACATACAACAGCATATGCTTTAGTCATTAAGACATAGGAAGAAAAGATGATTGACTAAGCCGCTTTAAAATAATGAAACTGCCAGGTTTCCCTTGGCGTCCCCTCTTTAAAATTAAAGTCAAGCACTTTAGCAGAGGAACAGACAAGCAATTCTAACTTCTCTAGACGGATACAGGAGAATCACCTTTTCCAATTCAGACCTAGCTCAGCAGTCTTAACTGAGACAAGACCAGTAGGAAAGCAATTAGGAGCATTCTCTTCCACAGAACTGCAAAGTCACACACAGAATTGCACTTTCAAAGCTGTTAATTTAACAAATTATGATGACGGAGGGCCGGGGAGGTAGCAGTAAGGAAAGAGGCTGCAAATTGTCTCGGGTTTTTCCCAAAGAAATGCATTTGAAAAGCACAGGGTATTCACCTCCCGTGGTATTCCCCTCCCAGGTTCCCCAGGAAGCTCAGAATACAAACGGTTCTCCACTTCAACCACAGTGATCACCACGCAGAAGTTTAATACATATTTTAAAAAGTATAATAACAATTCTTGACAGAAAAGTAACAAATACTAATCACTAATATCCCCAAAGTTAACAGAGTTGCCCAGCTTTAGGTACAGCTTTTGTTTTCTTTCTTGTTTTTTAAATTTATTTTTTAAGTTTTGTACTGCAGTTGCACCCATTTCCAACTGACTTTTCTGTCAGTATGAAATACTGATTTGAAGACAAAAATCCCCAATCAAAGCAAGAAGAACTCAGCTTTCAATGTTAAGCTGAACCAGGACTTTACCCAGCTGATTTTATCTCCCTCCATATCACAGCTGGACTTCAATCCTTTATAACAAATATTCTTTATAACACACTTTCAGAGCTCAATTCATATTCTCTTAAAGAGTTCCATGGTAGTAACTGAAATGAAAGCAAACACGTTTGTTGTTCTTTTCCTCAATTTAAAAACAAATTGGAGAGCGTACTGAAGGAAATTCATCCCTGAGTAACAGAGCATTTAAAAGCTGCATCCCATTGCCAGTCACTGCGACATCCTATGACATTTACTCTAATAATTAATCAACACTATGAACAGGCAGCCAACAGAACTGGTCACAGTTCAATTTGTTTGCAGCGTTGTTGCATTGATCCCATGATCCTGCTTAATGAAACTGCAAGGGAACATTAGGAAATGGGATAAATAGAAACAGTGTCTTTTATTATTTTAAGTTGAATGTCAGATTGACAGCTAAACTGTGCTGGATCCCAGGGTACTCAGAGCAGTGGTGGTCAGCAATTGGCTTCTCTGGAAGTCCAAAGAATTTCTACGGGGTGTCTTCAGCCGAACAGCAGGAGGAGAACAATTGTGATGGAGTTCAGGGCTATTAATGGCACTGCAGAGGGGGGAACAAAGAGAATTAATACTGAAAATTTTGCTTTCCATGTCACAAAATGACAGAGCTTCATATAACCTTGGGAGAAGGAGCAGAACCAGTCAAAATTTTAGAAATACATTTAATTTTCCTATGTAAAGTTGTTACCAGTGGAAGGAGCCAGGCTCAAAGACATTAGTAGAAAGCAACAGCAGAAATATTTTTCACAGCGCATTTTAACTTTAACCCAGAGCCTTTAACTCTGTTTTAACTTCAACACAAATAACTCTTTCTCCAAATGAAAGTAAACAATCTAAAATTCAGCTTATATCCTTGGCTTTACTGTGCTTTAGAATAAATGTTTTGAGTTCTACTCAGTGATAGGCACAACAGGTTAAGATTTGTTACTCCCTCTCTATCATCATCTACAAAATGAATTTTTGGTGTCCATAATTAAGAACTATCAGTAACTTACAAATTAAGTATATTTTTCTCCTGATCTTCTGAGGCACATAAGCCTGGCTTGCCTTTCAGAAACCCCGGAATTACATTTCCCTCACAGGTACTTCCCATAAAGTTGGATTTAAATGAAGTGATTGACACTGATTGCACACTTTGGCTGATCACCAAACTTCCTCCCAGCTGACAAACTCCAAGGGAAGGAACAGCTCAGCAGGAGAAACACAATCCAGAGCCAGGGAATGTTACTGCATTTTTGGTGAGGCCTGCACCCTCTTACAGAGAGTCTAGGCCCAGAGGAAATACAGATTAGTGCAGAAACAAGACACTACAGATTGTAATAATAATAATCATCACAATCCTAATAATACTAGAAAATATTGTGCCCTTACCTCTCATAACGGTTCGTATTGATCGAATGAGGTTTGTCAGCTGTGCTTTAATTCCTGGTTCCTCTCCAAATCCTCCAATCCCTTGATCGCTTCCCCAGCCAACTGGGTCACATAAAAACAGACACACACTTTAGGAAAAAAACCCCAAAACCACACAACAAATGCTGCAATTTTAACGAGCAATCTATCATGAATGTAGTTTATACTAACACAGATAGACAGCCTTATTTCACGAGCACATTTTAATACAGCAGGCTGAAAGCTGTTAAACCTCATGCTAAACGATGACAAATCCATGTTTCTGTAAAGAAAACCCTCACCTTTTCAATACACCACAGTTCCCTGCGAGTTCATCTGGGCTTTAAAAATTAAACCGCTGTCAAAATAAACCCTAAATGAACTGCAACCTTTTCATAGTCCTGAAAATAAAATAGCAAATAATCCCTCGGTGTGAAGTGATGATGCTTCAGCACTGAGAAAGGGGCCACACGAGAGAAAAACGAACAGCACAAATTCCAAAATAGGAGTGATGATTTTTGCAACTGCTGTTAAAAAAAAAAAACCAAAAACTTTTAAGGAAAAAAAAAAGGGAACTTTTTGTAATGTAGCAAAAATCCTGAAGTTTTACGATGCCCAGACACAGCATGATGGGACCAAGGATGTATCCAGGCATTTCTAAGACCTGCTGTCTGCAGCCCTTACCATTTCTGGAAGGAGCAGAGCAAGGAGCAGCTCTCAATACACCAAGCTGCACTGCCCAAGCTGTGCATTTCTTTCTCCAGAGGCCACTTTTGAGTGATTTTTGCTCTCCCTTTCTCATCTCCCTGGCACCAAACTGGTGGGCGAGTCCTCTCCCTCACCAGCCTTGCCAGCCGCTGCTTCCCACTGGGATGAGCCTGGAACTCTATTCCCAAGTTTCAAGAGGCTGACAACTGGCTTCATCCATCCCAGCTGTCCCCACAGCTCCCGTTTTAAATTCCAGCTGCTCGTCAAAAGAGCAAAAGAAAAGCCCAAACCCAAGATGAGCAGATCCCTCGAAACAAATCCAACCGGGGAGCAGGAGAGAGGGATGCCCTTCTGCACTCCTGCCAAAAATCCTGGCTCAGCCTGACGTGGAGAAGTCAGGATTCTCCAGTTCCCAATGAACTGGGAAACCGTGCATCATTGCCCATTTTTTTTTTCTTCCACAGCTCTGCAGATCTTTGTCGGTGGATTTTCTCTGTTTTGCAGGGCTTGGCTTCATTTGAAGGGCAAGGATGCCCAGCCCTGGGAACCCCAGGGACCGAGAGGCGCCATCTCACCAAGAACCAGGCACAAGAGAAAGGAAACCTTTGTGCGACACCCACCACCAAGGGGCGTGAAACAGTTAAAACCGGATGGGGAAAAAGGACAACTACATATTAAAAAAAAATAAATAAACACAAAGGTACGAGGAAAGCGGGTGGGAATTCATCCCCCAACCCTCCCCGATGACTCCCAAACCCCTCCCCCGCGCGCCGCCGCTCCCCCCGGCAGGGAGCGGCGGGGCCCCGAGGCCGGGCGGCCCGTCCCGGCTCACCGTGGCGGAGGAAGCGCTCCTCGTGCAGCACGGCCACGGCATTGACGATGAGGAGCGAGGCCTGCAGGAGCGAGTAGAGCGTGAACGCCATGGCCCGGCAGCGGCCCCGGCAGCGGCGCCCGAGAGCGACGTGGCGGGGCCGGGCGGGGCGGGGCCTCGGGCGGCGGTGGGCGGGGCCTCGGTGGGAGGAGCCTCCCGATTGGGCCATGGAGGGGGCGTGGCTTGGCATAATGGGCGTGGCCTTGGGCGCGACGAATGGGGCGTGACCGCTGATGGGCGTGGCCTCAGAGGGTGTGACCTCATAGTGGGCGTGGCCTCAGGGGGCGTGGCCTCCGGCTCCCGGGAGCCGCGATGGAGTCCCCGGGTTCGCCCGCGGATCCCTCGGGATCCCGAATCCCTCGGAGCTCCTCGGGTCCGGCGGATCTCGCAGACCCCCCCCCCGCCCGTGGATCCCTCGGTGCCGCTGGGATTCCAAGGATCTGTGGATCCCTCTGGTCAATGGAACACTTGGGTGCCTGTGGATCTCTCGGAACACCGTGGGTACCACAGAGCCCCGTGGGTCCATTGGATCCATGGATCTCTCGTGCCCATGGATCCTTTGGAGCCCTCAAGTCCGTGGATCCCTCAGAACCCCGTGGGTCCCTCGGAGCTTCTTGGGTCTATTGGGACCGTGGATCCCTCGGGTTCATGGATCTCCCAGAGCCCTGTGGTTCCATCAGAACCCCTTGGGTCCATTGGATCTGTGAGTGCCTTTGGTCCATGGATCCCTTGGAACCCCACAGATCCCTTGGGTCCATTGGTCATTCAGAGACCTTTGGATCCCTTGGGTCCATTGATCTGTCAGAGCCCCTTGGACTCATTGGGTCCATGGATCCCTCGTGTCCATGGAGCCCGTGGGGCCCTGTGGATCCCTCAGGGCCATGGGTCCCTCACATCCGCATGGGTTCCTAGGAGCCCCTTGGGTCCACATGGATCCCTTGGGTCCATGGATGCCTCAGAGCCCTGTGTTTTTCCCAGGTCCTCAAGTCCTTTGGAGCCCCGTGGATTTCTCAGGTCCATGGATCTCTCAGAGCCCCGTGGACCTCACAGCACAGGCTGTGACGTGCGAAGCTCTGCTTGCCGTGTAGCAAGTGCCCTTTGGATTTGGGGCAGGAGTAAGGCTCATCCTCCTCCTCCTCCTCCTCCTCCATCTGTAACGTGGTAGCATGGTGTGTCCTGTCAGCGGGAGCTGGAGACATCGCCTGGTGTGGGACAGCCCCCTGGCCATCCATCATCAGCAACACAAGTAGAATTAATAAAAATCCATAAACACTGCACGTGCAAAAATACATGAGTTTATATTTGCATTTAGCCTTATGGACAGCGGGGTTTTTCCACGTGTTTTCTCACTACATGGGTTTTCCTTCTATCCTGACTGAGGATCAAGCAGGAAGTCAGTCCAGATCCCAGGTGCTGGTTGTCCAACACGTAATGCTGCAGAACCCAAAGCACAGCCCAAAAGAAAAAAATTACTTTTTATAGTGGATTGATCATGACTTCTGGGCAGTTCTGCAGTCAAATAACAAAATAATCACAGCTGGAGCTCAGGGATACCGTATCCCTATTATAACTACTGTAGTTACAGAGTTATCCCCGTACTGTAGTTACACAGTTATCCCAGTGTAGTTATTGATGCACAAATAGACATTTTTTCCCTTTGCCTCTTCCAGTCCGATTGGCTGAAAGGGGTGATTTGCATAATCCCCCTGATTTTATTTCCCAGTAATTTCACAGTGCACAAGCCCCTTAGCTCTGGATGAGCTAATGGTACAGATTTTGGTACTTTTATTACTCAATCGGGGCACGATGATTTGCATGATCACTTTGTGGTGGTGGTTACTAGACCCTTCTGCTGCAACAGAGGCGACAGCTTTGTGCTCAGTGTGGGGGACTGCAGAGACCCCAGCTCGATTCCCTGCCCTGCCACAGACTTCTGACACAAGCTGGACAAATTATTCTCCTCTTATCAGTATTATGTCCCCATGCTCTATGTGAAGATCCCCTCACCAGCAAGTGATGATCTGATATTTCAATTAATTAAGTGCCATGAGTATGTAATCAATAGATGCTCAGACACCACGTGAATCAGCTGTGAAAAAACCCACACCTCAGCTTCTTCTTGTGTTCATCTTTCCTTTCCAAAACACCCACTTTGGTACAGTCAGTGTCATAATATAGTGCAACTTAATAATCACTACTATTAAATAACATTACATTTTAATACTGGAATAAAGAAAAAGCACCTCGCCACCAGCACCACAGCGTATTTTCTTTACAATTTACTCCCAAAATTACTCCTATTGCACAAGGGAGATAGAGAATCAAGGATATTCATCAGAGTTCTGTCATCTGGTCAAAAGCATTTGTCATTTCAGCCTCAAAAAGGAATATAGTCTCAATTTAGGGTAGGGATGAAACATCTATTGCAGTTGCAGTGAGCTCAATATTTTTGAAGCCTGTACTGAAGTGTTTACTTACATGAAAGCTTCATTGTTTTTCCCAAATGCTGACTTTGGTTCTGAAAACTCTTGTGTGTATGATTAACTTCATAAGCCAGAAGTTAGTGGGAACACTCGAGTATAGAGGCACATGTGAGCACATACTTGAAGGCTTAGGAGTTCCAGAACAGCTTCTCTAGTTCTCATCTAGGATTTTAAATTTGCAGTGACTGCAAAACTCCTCCAAAACACCATTTTAACATTTTCAAATTGAGCCATTTCTAGTTGCCCAAATCCTCCCCCTAATTTTTGGGGTTTATAGTTCAAATAATCTTTTTCCATCTGTAAATAGCACCAACAACAAAAAGTTTGAGTTTACCAAACTCCATACAGGCAGAGAAAGTCAACATTGGCCTGAAAAATTTCATCCCAAAGGCCACTACAAATTTTTAAGAAGTTCTTAGTGGTGATGTGTGATGGTCAAACAAACAGAACTGTCTTTTGTCCTCAGACATAACTTAGGGCATTCTGGCAGTGGTTCTATAATTAATTACAGATAAATATGGGGTTCAGTAACATAGATATCTAATAATCACCATGATCAAGTAGCATTTCCTGGGCTACCTCCTTACGGTATACAAGCTATAAATAAATAAATGCTAACCTCAGCGAAGAGCTAATGCTTAGAGTTATGGCCCTGAAAAAAAAAAAATCTGAGGTTTTGCAATAAGTACACAAGTTATGGCTTAGTATTTTTACCCATAATTAAGATGTATTTCAAAAGAGCAGCTGCCGTCAAGCTGACATAAACTTGACGTGATTTTCCCCTTAATGAAATCCATCATGGCAACTTAGCAACCACAGGAGTCTTATCTCTGAATCATGTTACGTGGTTGAAGAGAAAACCAGATAAAGTTGCTTGCATTAGAAGGAAAGGTGCTTTTTATTATTATTATTATTTGTTTCATTAAGGTGTCGTGTTTCAGTACCATAAATTCCCGGGGTGTCATCTGCAGGGTGCAGTCAATCACCATAAAGAAGATTTTAAACCACCTTACAGATGTCAAAGGATTAAACTTCAGGCTGGTGAAGTATTGCGAAGGCACTGGTGTTTTTCACTCTCAGTTTCTCGTTCAGTGTTTTCAGGCAGAGCACATCTCCCCGGGTGTCACTGTCCCCTACACTTAATGAGAACCAAGCTTGTTGCATGAAAGATTTTGGGGTTAACTGAGTTTAATTCTGATGAGAAAATACCATGACAAAGGAAGACCTGTTACGACTTCAGCCCCTGCACCCTTCACCTCACTTGCCACCACCATCTCCTGACTTTATTTTCGGATCTAGCTTTAACCATTTCCTTCTTTAGACGCCATACACACCCAGATATATGCACATCAGTGAGAAACTTTTGGGGACCCAGAAAATTCTGGAAATTGGGCCCAATGATCCCAAGCTGGAAGTGAAAAAATGCATTTTGTTACTGTCAGCTTTTTTACCAACTCCTACCACAGGCAGCTTCATTAACTGAAAAACTTCGTGTAGGTGAAATAAATTAGGCTCTGCCTCTCAGCCAGGTGCTATAAATAAATACAACAGCTAAATTTCACAGTTAGACTAAAGCCTTTGTCATCTCTCACTCATCACACCTATAGCACTGTCGAAGAGCTGTAAAGTTAATGGTGCATCTGACTGATGTAACACGTCCCTGGTAAGCACAAATTGAGTGACTGCTTTAATGTCCAGATGGTTTGCTTTTTTTTTTAAACCACCAAAGCTGGGAATGCAATAGGATTTTGTGCATTTGGGAAAATGTGTGTCTGGTCCTCACCTGTCAGCAGCTGCGTGCAGGAAAGAGCTTTGTCTTATCTGTGACTCATGGGTCACCTCTGCCCTTGCTTGTTTGAGAAGTGAACAGCCATCCCTCCAAAAAACACGGCCTGACAGCCTTCCTGGGATTTGAGAGGACATTAATAGGCCCCCACACACAAAAGAACTGCCTGGGGATTGAGGAACACAATGAAAAACCATACACAATTCTGGATTTACACCTAAATTTATCAGCGCTGTTTTCCTAAGTTACTTGGCTCTGTAACCATAACAGGCTTTAAATGTCATTTGTTGCCTGGTTCTCTCTCTCGCACACACAGAAACAGACAGACAGACACACACACACACACACACACACACACAAATGCTGTTGCTCATCTTGCTACCACCAAGAGTACAGAATGGTTATAGAACCAGGTTTGAGCTGGAAGGGAGCTTAAAGATAATTTCTGTGACATGACATTGTTCTGTTATTATTGGCACTGTTTGCGTTGCTTTTGAACTGGAATACACCAGTCCAGACCCAAATCCTGTCATGCTCAGTGCCATGCAGATATTTTTCAGAGGCAGGCATAGGGATTTTCCAGTCCATCTCTGAGATGGAAGACAGTGGATATCTAAAGCAGGCCAATGTGGGGAGCGGGGCAGCAAGGAAACAAATGGTTTTTTTCAGGGAATTACAACTCTCTGCTTAGCCCTGCCTCACTGCTGACAGACGGGCAGGATTTTCAGGCATGGAGGCAGCAGAGAGTCTTAGGGAGGGATTTAGAGGATGGGGAAACAGCTCCATGAATTTTGAAAGGTGGGGGATTTAGTCTCTGTGCAGTGAGCAGCATGAAGAAAAGGCAG